ATAATGTTTGGTGATTGTGAGTTGTGGTTAATGCACTTTCAATGGTGCAAGAAATTAACCGCTGTAAATAAATAGAACTTTTAGAGTTTAAAAATGGTTCACCTCTTTTAGAATTCCATCATCTGATAAGCAACAATGCTTTTATGGATTTCTCTTCTTCTTTAATTGGTCTTTGAGGTTCAAAGTCAGAGACTTCTTTGCCAATTGTTCACTTGCACCTGTTACTTTTCTTGTCCCAATGAATGAGTCCCTCAGTGGCTCATCTATTTGTCTTCCCTTGGATCTCAAATTCTAAAATTTCAAATCTTGTCACTTGTCCATCAGTGTAAACCTCTGCAACAAGGAAAGAAGAATTTATGAAACTTTAATGATACTTTGTTCATTGTGGCTGTTTGCAATATTCACTTTCGTGATGCAGTTCATTTCATAAATAAATAAAAAACTTTATAATTGAAAAAAGCTTTATAAAAGAAAACTTTAAAATTGTTTTTACCCTCCTCTTTTTTGATTGGGTTTCATCATCTTTGATAGCACCAGCATCTACTGATTTCTTGTCTTTCATTAAATTGGTCTCAGTCAAAGCCTAGATAATTCTTGCAGGAATTTCTCCTTGTACTTGTATTTTTTTCCTTGTTCCTGATGAATATTCTCTACATTCTTGTTGGTATTTGAAAGTTCTTCAATTTCAAGTTTTCTCATTTGGTTTCTGCTGATGGGAGATTCTGCAACAAGGAAAGAAAATTTGTAAAATTTTTGCTTACAGTTTTTATCATTGTTGTTTGTAGTAGTATTATGCACTTTCATGATGCAAAAATTCATGCTACACAAATAAATAGATGTTTTGGAATTTAAATGGTTAGGTAAGTTTATTTTTAACCTTTTCTCCTTTGGAATTCCATATCAGTATCACAATGCTTTTCATGGATTTCTCTTCTTTTGAAGTTGGTCCTTGCATTCTCAAAAAGTTGGACACTATCTTGCAACTGTTCAAACTTGTCCCTGTTACTGTTCTTGTCCCCATTAATGAGTCTCAGTTGACTCATCTAATTGTCTTGCTTGGATCTCAAATTTTGCAATTCAATCTTGTCACTTGGTTCTATTTGGTGGCGAAACCTCCTGCAAAAAGGAAAGAGCATTGTGAAAACTATTTTTTTGATAATGTTTTTGCCATTGTGGCTGTTGAATAATTCACTTTCAGATGCAATGTTCACTTTAATAAATAAATAAATCTTTATAATTGAAAAAAGCTTCTAGTCAAATTGTTTTACCTCCTCTTTTTGATGCTTCCTCATCTTTGATAGCAGCAACATCTACCTGATTCCTTGTCTTCTCAACTTGGTCTTGGGGTTCAAAGCTTGTAGAGACTTCTTTGCAAGCTCTTCACCTTGGTACCGGTATTTTTCTTGTTTCCAATGAATATCATCTACAGTCTTTGTTTTTGGTATCTGAAGTTCTTCAATGTCCGAAAGTCCTTTCCATTTGGTTTTTTTGAATGGGAAAGATTTCCTGCAAACATATAAAGAAAATTTGTAAATAATTTGTTTTTAGAAGTTACATTGTTGTTGTTGTTGTAGTATTATGCCATGTTTCATGTTTGTGTAGTATTTAACCCTTCTTTTGTAATTCCGTCATCTGTAGCAAAATGCCGTTTTATGGATTCTCTTCTCCCTTTAAATTGGTCTTGAGGTTCAAAGTTAGAAGACCTTCCTTGCAATTGTTCAACTTGCACAGTTATTGTTTCCTTGCCCCAGCAATGTGTCTCCGTTGACTCATCTATTTCTTCTGCTTTGGATCTCAAAATTCTGCAATTTCAAATCTCGTAACTTGGTTCCGTCAGTGGCAAACTCCTGGCAGCAAGTAAAGAAAATTGTGAAATTTTCTGAATATGTTTGTCATTCTGGCTGTTGGCAAATATTAACTTTCATGCTGCAGGTCTTCAATTTCACAAATAAATAAAACTTTAATAATTCAAGAAAGCTTCTTCTAGACTATTGTTTAACCTCCTCTTTTTGACATTCCAATCATCTTTGATAAGCAGTCAGCAACACTACTGATGTCTTGTCTTCATCAACTTGGTCTTGAAGGTTCAAAAAGCGAGAGACTTCTCGCAGCTCTTCACCTGGTACTCTATTTTTCCTTGTTCCAATGAAATATTCATCTCACGTCTTGTTTGATATTCTGAATTTCATCAATTTCAAAGTTTCTCATTTGGTTTTGGTTGATGGGAGATTCTGCAACAAGGAAAGAAAATTTGTTAATATTTTAACAATAATTCAGTACGTTTTGTGGTACTAGTGCACTTTCATTATGCAGAGGTTGTGTTACTCAAAGAAATAGATCTTTTGAAATTTGAAAATGGTTTAGGGTAAATGTATTTAACCTCCTCTTTTGAATTCCATCATCTGTGGCAACAATGCTTTTTAATGGATTTCCCTTCTTCTTTAAAGTTTGGTCTTGTGGTTTCGAAGTAAAAGAACTTCTGCAATTGTTCAACTTGGTCTGTTGTGTTTCTTTCTCCCATGAATGATTCTTGTTGATTCATCTGTTTTCTTGATGGATCTCAACTTCTTCAATTTCAATCTTGTCCTCGGTTTCCGATCGTGGCAACTCTGCCCAAAGGAAAGAGAATTTTAACTTTTTGGATATGTTTGTCATTTGGTTGTTGTTCCTTTCCATGCCGCACTCGTTATCCATAAAAATGAAACTTTATAATTGAAAAAGTTCTGGACGAAATTGGTTTTTTCTCCTCTTTTGAACATTCCCATAATCTTTGATAGGCACCACAAATCTACTGATTTCTTGTCTTCATTAACGTGGTCTTGAAGTTCAAAGCTGGAGACTTCCTTGCTGCTCTTCAAGCTCCTAACAAGTAATTTTTCCTCGTTCCACGAATAAATTCATCTACATTCTTGCTTGATATCCGAAGTTCTCTTCAATTTCAAGTTTCTCTTTTGGGTTTTGTTGATGGGAGATTCCTGTCTGCAACAAGGAAAGAAAATTTGTAAAAATTTTGTTTTAACCGGGTTATCATTTTGTTGTTGTTGTTTGTTGTTGTACTAATTCACTTTTTGTGATGTTTTGAAAGGGAACCTAATACAAAGAAATAAAACTTTACAATTGAAAAAAGGTTCAAGCAATAATTATTTTTAACCTCTTCTTTTGGAATTTCATCATCCTCTGACAGTATAATGTCCTATTGATTTCTCTCCTTTCTCCATTTTTGTCAAGCTTTCTCCATTAATAATGGATCCTCTTTGGCCAAAACTTCCTCCAATTATAATGGAATCCCTCTTTGGCACATGTAATTGTTTGGAGATTCGCTTGAAGCAGTTATACTAATCTCCTGAGAAACCATTCCGCAGATTGTTTCTATCTTTTCATTTCCTATTTTGTCTTTGCTGTGTCTGGAGAAGTTACTGCATCAACTGATATCGTTTTCAGATGCCACAGTGGTATGCCACAATTTTCTCTGCTCTCCCCTGCAGACGACTCTGTTACAGACTGCTCCCCATTTTGTGTTTTGCCCTATCTTCCAACCACTGCTGCTATCTGCTTCTCCTGTGCTGCTGTTTTTCAAGAAATTTCAATATATCCTTATTGTGGACTTCTCCTCAACAGCATCCTTGGACAAAGTTTCCTGTGACCACTTTAGACATCTAGTTTTGTCTACATCTGCAACATTCTCTCACTCTGTTGGGTGACGAAGGAAATCAACTTGGTTCATTTGGATCCAATGCATAAGTGGGTGTACGGTCCTTCAATTCTTTCATTTAAGTTCATTGTAATCTTGGCTTTCCTCTTTCCCTTGCTATACTTGAGTCTCTTCTAGCTTGTTTCCTAACCTTAATTCCGGCATCCTTGTATGCTTGAGCTTTCTGTTCCCATGCCCATTGATGGATTTTCAAAGGTTAATTCTCCAACATTCTCTATGATTGCAAGACATTATACTTTCTTATCACTCTTAATTTCTAGACTTGCTGCCAATTGAGGAGGCTTTCCTTCCCATTTTACTTCGTGTCTGATGCTTCTTTATCACTTTCATCTTTTCAGTTATTTTTGGCTGCATCAAGGAACTCTTCTCCCTTATCTGGTACGGTGGGTAATGTCTGGCTTCCTTCTCTTCTACTACAGAATTTTTCTTCTCCATGTTTTTCTTCAATAGGAGTAGTTTCAGATGGCTTGAGGCATGTCTTTTTAATGTTCAGTTTTTTAGGAAAGCATCTGGTCTTGTTTCAACATTGGGGTGTCCAAAGTTTTGGACTTTCAGATCAAGATGTGAATTAAAGCGTCTTCATTCTGACTGAACTGGCCTCAAGTATCCCCTCGTTTCTTTACTAGTTTTTGAGTTCAGCATCTTCATCCATCCTTTTCTTTCTGTCTTCCTCATCATTCTGCAACTGCTAGCTTCTTTTTCCATAATCTTTTGGGTTTTCTTCAACAAGATTAAGATATTTTTTTCTTCACTTGAAATTTCTGCTTGTCCAACATGGTAGGCATGGTTCTCACCTTATAATCCTTTAAAACCGACTCCTTTAGAATCTGAAATTTCCACAGTTCGTTCATTATTTTCTCCTATCTCTTTCTGTCTCCACGACTCATTCTCTCCTATTAGATCTGCCTCTTCTGCTGCCCAAATTTTCATCTTTTCTGTATTTGTTCATTCTTTTTTTCATTTCCTTCTCTGCTTGGCACTGCAATGTCTTCGCCCTGAAAAGTTTCTTGCTTTAATGCTGGTTTCTTCACTTGGAAATTTGGCAAATTGAGGGGTGATTCAAAAAACTTTCACCCGCTGTCCACTCCAGCCATTGCCTTGAAAGCCACCATGCACAGCTTTCCAAACTTTAACCTTGATAATGCTTCCAATTCTACAGTAACAGCAGTTTCAATTACAGTTGATTAAAATCTTCTGGGTTAGTGTTTATCACTCCTTTTTCCTGCATAAAGAAATGTTAGCTTACATTAATCACCCTTGCACTAATTTATTCACCGGTTTTAAGAAGAAAAGAGTGCACTCCTGAAATTTTGATATAGAAGGAGGAAACTTTGGGATTCTTGGAGAAGCAGGATAGCAAGAAGAAAAGAGTGCACTCCTGAAATTTTGATATAGAAGGAGGAAACTTTGGGATTCTTGGAGAAGCAGGATAGCAAGAAGAAAAGAGTGCACTCCTGAAATTTTTTGGATGTTTAGGATTTTCTTCAGTAAAAAAAAAAAAGGTTACTGATTTTCTTCCTATTCCTATCAGTACTCATTTATTCAACTTTCCTAGTTAGTTTAAATTTCTTTCCTATTTCTATTAGTATTCCTTTTTTAGCATTGCATGCATCATACATAGACCTGTTATATTTATTTTAAGCATACTGGATAATTAATAAACAGATTTTCCTTCAAAATTGTTTGAGTTTCCTAATTGAAACTTTCTTTCAGGTTATAGTCATGTGCTATTTCCTATTCACATTTTCTAGCTGTGTCAAAATAATTGATTAATATTAGCGTCAATCTAATTTGAGAAAACAAAGGAAGTAATTTCATGGTTAAGATTATGACATATGTAAAGCTTTCCATATAACCAAAGTTTTCATGATATAGAGGGTGTAGTTAACTTTTGATTTTTTGAATTTGAATTGTATCAAATTGTTGACGTATAAAACAGAGATGAATATCTAAGAAATTGTGGAAGTAAATATGAAGTTAAATCATTCATGGGAACAAAACCCATAATGGAAAAAGTGAGGACTCCATAGCATTACTGTGGTCTATGTATATGCTGCTGAAAAGGCATAAATATCTGAGCATTAAATATTAAGAAAACAGAAAGATTTTTCATGAATTAATTCTGTAAATGAAATATCATATTCAGAATTAATTCTGTCAATGAAATATCATATTCAGAAAATTTTCTGGTAGAAAATAATTAGAATAAAGGCTGCAATTTTTTCTTTTTTTTGCTTCTTATACTGATAAAAAAGGCGGGAAAAATATAATCTAAACATCTCTGCTTTTATACTGAATGCTACATGAATTATTGAGAGTTCTTCACTGATTTGTCATTTCAGAGTTGTTGAAATTGTGTTGCTATTCTCATCTCATCACTGATCTTGCTAATCTGGCTGTGCTTTCTTTTATTTTTTGGATGATTCTAATGAGTATAATCTAAAGATCCTTTGTGCATCATTAATTATATACAGCAAAAGACAAAGTAAAAGGCACCTGTTAGAGAAAGAACATGATCTTACATACCAATAAAGATGCAGGCTCTGGAATATCAGCTTCGGTTGCCATTTCATGCAGGACTAGTAGGAACTTTTTCAAGTATTGATCTAAGTTCCCAGGTAAACTTAATATGTCTAAGTTCTGCTGGAATCTTTCGTTGCTGCACTTGCCAGACTTTTAAACTTTGAATATGTGGATCATTAGGTACCTGTAATAATCTGCTGATGGTTATATTGCTAAAGTAGACTAGTAAGTGACAAAATGCCACTTGGTAATGGTATAGCTTATGTGTTGGTGAGTTGTCAAGATATGCTATGGTCCTACTAATTGACCGACCACATGACTGGTAACCAATACAGCTTATAGTGGAATTATACAGTTACGATGGATCAATTATTCTTAGGCTGAATTTGAAATCTTTACAATGGCAGGAAGAAGCTGCCAGTCTTTCTAACAGTTTTCTTTTTGTCAGGACGTTTTATAAGTTGTCGTGCGGGGTTCTAACTCCTTTTTCGACTATAATTAGTTTGAGATCATACTTTTGTTTGACAGTTTTATGATCCAAAGAAAGAGTTTCTTTTGTTCCTTACAGAAAGGTAGTACCCTCCACTGTAGATCAATGTGTTTGATCCCCACTGTGAAGACTACGTCTAAGGAATAAATTTGTTTTAATTGCACTATTTGCATTCATATTTAGGTTTATTATTGCTGTTTGAGCTGCTGTTGAAGGAAAACACAATGTTGAAAATATTAATTAAATTTGTCTTAGAAGTGAATTTCAAATGTTTTAATCGTAAGTTCTTCAAAATTTCTAACAACTGTCAAACTGTGTTTTTCAATCTCAATTTTATTTGGGAAATCAATTGAAATATTTAATTCCAATCTCAATACCGACCAGACTTTTAATAGTCTTAGGATATATAAGAAGGGTCAAAATTTACAGTCACCATAGTGATGTTTCTATTTCAGACTTTGATCTTTTCTTTTCTTTTTTTCTTTTTCTAACTTGCATGCATATCGAGATTGAATGAAATCGAAGTGAGATTAAGCAAAAGGATTACCTTCCATATGAAGTGATATTGAAGCAATCCTTTTGTTTCTAGTTATTTCAGTGACTTCGGTTTTAAGAATTCACTTGTATCACTAAAAATTGTGATCTCCAATGATGTTTTGATTTGGTGGAAGACATAATTCAAGATTAGCTTCAAATTAGTCTTGAAGCAATGAATTCCAATAGGAAAGTTTTGTACTATGTTAGTGGTTGTAATAGGTTAGTTTTGTACAGTAGAGGTTAGATTCTACAATGATGAACAAATTTGTTAAAAATATTATAGTACACTATCAGGGCTAAAATAGAACATGATAGGAATCTTTTGCTGGTATAGTAAGAACATCTAAATCATAGTTGGCCACCATGGTGGTTCCCTCCATTTGGTGTCCCAGATATGCAGGCCCCACACATTGTATTGTGTATTACTTTGTGAAAGTTGAAGTTTAATATTAGAGTTGCAATTGCAACTATACTGCTGCTTGCTTGAGTGATGATGTCAGTTGTTTAGGTAGTTATTATACTTTTAAGGTTATAACCTACTAGTCTACATCTAGGACTTATCTATGCAAATTCAAGATTATGTTAGTTGATTCATGAAAGGGGTCTGGCTTAGTTAAAAAGATTTGGAAAAAATGAAAAATAAAAAATAAAAAAGAGGGTAGAAAAGAAAATGAATAATTTGAGATTATTATATTAATATTACAAATTTACAATAGGAGTTCAAAATTTCTGGCCTTGACCACTATTCTTCTAAAAATTTTCTATCCACAAAAACATTATAAATGATTCATTTAATAAGGAAATGGTTATTATACAAGATTCATTAATTTTTGAAAGACAACTTAACTTAGCAGCTCAGGAATTTAAAGATTGGAGGGCGAATCTCTTATTGTTATTGTTTTGTTTATCATTTATTATTAATTCATTATTAATTAAAAACAGTTGAGGATAATGAACTTTGATTAAGGGTCTATTGAGTAATACCAGCTGTTTTAGTAGCTGTTAAGTGTTGTATCAGTTGTTAGGTATTCTATTAATGGTTAATTGGTAGTTGTATATATATAGCGATTTAAATTAAAAGTGTTCAGTAAACATAATTATTTAACTTAAAATGAAAAAAATTTAGTTGTCTAATTGACTAAATTTGGAGGTAAAAAAAAATTTAATTAATTTTTATGAAACGCTAAGCGTTGAGAGTATTTAACTTTTCATAAAAAAATCCTTGTAACCTCTAAAAGTTATCATAAAAGCTATAATAGAAATGAAGTTTTTTGACTTGTCAAAATGCTAAAAGCTATCTTAAATGCTACTACTCCACACGGTGTAAGTAAATAATTAAAAATCAAAAACAATTTTTAGTGCTAGAAAAAAAAAAAAAAAAACTAAAAACATGATGCAACTATAACAAACTGACCGTTAGTAGTTTCAGGAGTTGAAAAAGATAGGAATTGAAGATTGGAGATAGATAAAAAATTACATTCTTCTCTTCTTCTATCAGAATAATTCTAATACATTTAATGACATTTGAATCTAAAAAGTCCAAATCGAAAGCTTGCTTATTCAATTTTAGTACGAAACATGAAATAGGAATTCTGCATGTATTATTTATCGCTGATGTGGATGGTGGTCATGGCACAACCAGCTGATGTGGATGGTGGCCCAGGTCGGCCACTTGCTGATGTAATTACCCAGACTGGCACTGATGACCATATCCACCGTCCATGTGGCAAAAGTCTAAAAAAGTTAGTACAATTATAAGTCGATTCAGATGGTTTTTTGTGTTTATATTATATTATTATTGAACCAATGTGTGCATACGTGTAAAGTTAGATAAAATACCAAGAAAACTATCCCAATCAAACCGACCAAACAAGAAATTGTTGTCCTCATTGGCCGCCCCATGCATGGGTAATTTGGTGCCACTCCTAATTTGTTTTGCTTTTTCCTTACAAAGTTATTACATAATTAGAATATTTCAATAATTATTTTTTAAATTATTGGAAGATGAATATGCAAATGCTTTTGCCTTTTGAGCTGATCAAATGGCCAAAACAGGCAATCCACCATTTCTAATCATAGTCATATTTTATGATTAGAATTTTGAAACTCAAAAGTGAAACAGAAATTGAATCAAATCTTGTCTTCTCTGTGTCAAATGACTTGAAAGAATTTAAAAATTAAACGGTGAACTTAGCATAAATCAATTGATTTTGTTAGGATATGTCCGAGAATATTAAATGTTTTAATATTAAATGTTTTAATAGTTGTTTGTTATATTAACTGCGGATAACTGTTTATATAATAGTTTAAATTAGATATGTTTTATAAAAATAATTGTTTACTTAGTTGTTTAATTTAAAATAATAAAAGAAGACATCAGTTATTTAATTAGCTGAATTCAGAAGAACAAAATAATGGGTATAATTATTAGAGTATTTAATTAAAAGCTAAATGCTAAAATTTAGAATATTTAACATTTTGTAAAAAATTTCTTGAGCATCTAAAAGCTATTATGAAATTACATTAGTGAATGCTACAGATAACAAAAAGAGCTTTGACTTGATCAAAACGTTAAATGCTAATAGAAATGGGAAGAGAGATTAAACCTGCAATTTTACTATCTCTAGACATATCATCTCCATCAACTTTTTCCACTAGATCAAATATAATTTTGATTCTGAAATTTCTTTTTAAAAAATGATTTTTGATAGAATATAAATTTTTATCAAGAACCTACCATAATTTACGTATAAAGCTCTAATAATTATAGAGAGTAATACTAATATTTGACATATAATTCTAATCAGAAACGTATATGTTTTTCTAAAGAAATGAATCATATATACAACTTTAATTCTCAAAAAGGAGATTGATACATAAGCAATAAAATTCTAAACACAAAATTTTCTCTTTTAATCTCAAAATCTGCTTAACAATAATGTAATTGCTTTTGGTCCATTAAGGATGATGTTGTACAAAGAGAACAATTATATATTATAACAATCTCAAATAGAAATTAGTCATTGTCTGAAGGTTAATTGAAGAAAGTGAGAAGGCTAATTGCTCTTAGTGCAAATCTTGTTTCATTTGAAACTCTAGGTATGCCAAGTAAGTGATTTGATACATAACCACAAAAAGAGCAAGTGTTTGGGGGTAATTAGATGAATTAATTTTGCTAAGATCAATAATGAAGTTCCCCTACCATTTATGGCCACTTCAAAATAGCTATGCTTGGGTGCTTTTATGTATCCCTATCTCTTGAATTCTTGCTAAGTGTCAATATCAGCACAGCTCATAGAAGCCTGCATTTCTTAAAGTGGAATTAGATAAGAGGACAATAACACACCACAAGTGGGTCCCATTTGATATGAACTTGTTTATCCTATGATAAAAGGTGGAATATATAAATTCTTTGGTGAATTTTATTACTCAAATTTTTTGGTAATTTTAAATTTTATTTTAACTCATCGAACATTTCAACTCATAAAATTATATTTACTAAATACTTCAATTTGTAAAATTATTTTATTGATTACTTCAACTTATAAAATTACATCAATCAATTATCTATTTTAAAAAAATAAAAATTATTATTTAAAAAATTGTGCTAACCATACATTAAATCAATATTTTACATATAAAAATCAAAAACTCTAAAAATTATTGTTATTAGTATGAAAAGATGAGTAATGTTATCAAAATCAAAATTCATAATTTTGAAAAACAAACACAATATGTCTTTTTCAAAATTGAAAATGACACGAGCTATTATAATAAAGTTCAGAAGTGAATTTACATATTTAATGTATGATATATCATGCTCTTGTACCTCTGTCTGCGATAGAAGTCTATCTAGTTACCTCATTCTTTGCTATATTGATATTGATTGAATGTTAAATTATTTTAGTGAAAAAATATATTTTGAAACACTAATTTTAAGAATTCCAAAAGTTTGGAGTGTGATAGAGACGATCATTCACTACGTGGTAATAGACTTGGTTAAGGGTTGGTTCCAGACTAGACTCTTTTACTCTTTAAAAAATCTTTTGAAATCGATCAAATTGATCGATAACTGATTCAATTATTAGTTTCAAACAGTATGTATTTTTATAAAAGTTCTAATCAAAATGGTTCAGTTTGGGATTCAATCTAGTTCGAAATTAGCCAATTTTAATATTATTTTCATTTGCAATATTGAACAACAGATACTTTGGATTTGTAGACCGTCTAAAACCCCAAATGATTAAAGAAGAGGGAAAAAAAAATCAAGGGCATGGTTAGGCTGAATTATTGGGGTCCATGTTGGAGTAGGGACCCACAAAAAAGGATAAGCATGTGAAGGCTCACAGGTGAAGTCTCACAGGTGAAGTCTCGACCTAGGCGGAACCGGAACCATGTCATGTCTGATATTAAACAGTCTTCCCATTGGGTGGTTTAAGTTTAAGATGGCTAGTTATAACCGTCCATTGGGTGGGCGAGGGTCCAGCTTAGATCTTGTGATTGCTGACTGTTTGTCGTTTGGTGGGTTCCAAAAAAATATTAGTGGCAGCTTGCATTCCATGTACCATGTCTATGGAGCTTTCTGCAGGGGGAATGTTGCCTTTTTCATGGCATGTTAGCTA